AGGAGGAAAAATTGTTATTTATTTTTTTATTCTGGGATTTATTTAGCTTCTATAATTGCAACATTGTTGCTTAGAGTGCAGCTCAGAGCCGGGCTGCGGAAGTCGGGGAACCTTGGCTCCCTCCATCACTGGAACAAGCAAGCCTCCTGTTTGCTTCAGCTGCCTGGCTGCCGGCTGCCATCTTGGTTGGCAGTTAATTTGCATATCTCGATGATTAGCCAATGGGAAGGGTAGCGAAGTTACGGTTAATTACCATGTTTCTCTATTATTAGATAGGAAACCCCAGATGAGCCTCTGGAACAAATGCCTCAGCACAGTGTTAATACAACCAGTCACCCATAACTTACATGCAAGCCAGAGTGGCCACAAAGTACAAGCTGCCTCCCAAGATCTTTCAGAAATATAATATTTTATAAAAAGAAGAAAATGTTAATTCTGCTCTGTGTGTGTACAATTTCCACTTGCAAGGGAAAAGTTATCCAAAAACAAGCCCATGGTTCAGTTACTTTCCAGGTACTACCATGTGAAAGGAAAGCCAAAATAAATTTCAAACCCTTTACCCCAAAGTTCAGTCTTTTGAAATACCCTGACATGACCAGCTTTAAAACTGGCATATCTAAGTTTTAATTCCAAAGAACTGTTTTTTTAAAACCAAAGTTTCTCTAAAGCAGTGGTTCTCAACCTTGGCTGCACATTAGCATCACCTGGGAATCTTTTTTTAAAATCCTGATTTCTGGGCCTCATCCTCCAGAAATTCTGTTTCTTTGTTACTAATGTTGTGGCCCCACCCCATAACAAAGAAACAGAATTTCCGGAGGATGAGGCCCAGATATCAGGATTTTAAAAAGATTCCCAGGTGATTCTAATGTGCACCCAAGATTGAGAACCACTGCTCTAAATAAAAGCTGTGACAGAGTATTTATCCTAATTATTATACCCAGTGCAGGTGGCAGCCAAACAGGCCTGGCTTCGTACCACGCCTGCAAACTGTTGAGAAGAACAAATAAGACAGGAAGGATCTACTTCTTAAGAAGCACTGTCAAAAACGGGAAGAAGCATTACGTATTTGAAAGTACGGTGGGGCCTTGACTTATGAGTGTCCCAACTAAGGAGTTTTTTGAGATACCAGCTGCATTGAGTTGACAGAGTAATTTGGGTTAACGAGCTCCTTAACGAGCTCGAGCTCAGAAGGAATTAAACTTGTAAGTCAAGGCCCCATTGTAGATAAGAGAGCAAATCTTAAAAGTTCTCATCACAAGAAAAAAGTTTTGTAACTCTATGGGATGATGTATGTTAACTAGACTTATTATAGTGATCATTTAGCAATATACACAAAGATCATCAGATCATTATGCTGTACACCTGAAACTAATATATATGTCAATTATACCTCAATAAAAAAAAATAAGTGTGGTAAAATGGGGGTGTGGGGAGGAAGAGAGAAAGAAAGAGCAGGGTAGCCATGGAGAGAAACAAAGACACAAGACACATTCTGGAAACACAAGGAAAGTGTAGGCACAAAGGGACAGCACGATCAGCCAGAAGAAAAGCTGACAGAAGTGAACAGAAAAAACAGCAAGGGGGAAAATCTACCCCATGTCAAAGAGCAGGCTGGAGAGTGGAGGAAAGCAATTAAACACCAATGACAGATGGAGATAAGGGCATCCAAGGCAAAGCGTCCATCCGTAAGACACTTGAAACCGAGGACTGCCAGGAGGTGACTGGGCGAGCAGCAACAGACCAGGAGCAGGAAGGGCAGCATGTCAGAGGGAAAACAAAAGGTCTTAGAATGAGGAGGAAGCTGCCAAAGTTAGGGGGCAAGAGGGGAGACTATTAGGGGCAGGAGGGGTGTGTGTGAGGAACAGGACAATGGCTGCACAAGGAGTATTAGAAAAGCTCTAAAAACAGGAGGGCCCTCTACTGCACCCCCAAAGCTCATCACCTCTTAGAGATTTCTAACCTCTACTGAGCACGATGTTGAAGGGACAGTATAGTCACCATTACCAAAGGGTGTTGGCTCCTGTTGCAACTATCCCCCTTGTGGAAAAGACAAGAGTAAACTCTGACCATCCATCTATAGCTGACATTCATCAAGAATTGTGTAGCATTCCAAACTACATATGAAATAAATGAGGTCATCTTCTGAAAGGTGCTGGCTGGATAATGGATCCAATAGCCATTGTTGGTCCGCCTGTGTGATGGGAAGGAGGGGTCCATGTGTTAGAAAGCTGGCAGTTGCACTTGGAGAGCCAAGACTTAAAAACATAACATGATTAATGAATGAACAAGTAAAATGCACAAGAAGTATAATAAGAAACAGTCATCTCAAGGAAAGAGCCCAGTGAGGACCACTGTAGTCCGCACGCACAGTGAAGCTCAGCAAGGAAGTGACTGAACTTCTCTAGATTTGTTTAAGTTGATCCTTCCGAGACTCTGGCCAAGAGAGTGCTGAGTTTTGAGTCAGACTCACATTCTAATCCTAGCTCAGGCAAGGTGCTCAGGTGCCAAGCCTCAGTTTCTTCTTCGGTAAAATAGAGCCACTAGGGTCATCAACCCTGAGAGCCTAACAGAGTTCTTGAGTCTCGAATGAAAATGCCAGTAAAACCAATGAAAGCTGAAACATTGTGAAAATCTAATGTCACTGTGCAAAAACAGATGAGGTATAAGATACACGAATGTGTAAATGGAGCCCAGAAGGGATTAAAGGGTTTAAAATTGTGGGTCTAACTCAGCAACTGTAAGTAGCTGGGGATCTGAAGCAACAGCAGTTTCCAGTTCAAGAGCCTCTAAAAATTAGCTGAGACTCAGAGTCAGTGGGTCTTACACATGTCCAAGTGATTATGACTTATTTTATAACCTCTTCTAAAACAAAGGGATTGAAGCTGACTGAATTCCAATAAAGCTCTAGGATTTATGCTGTATCTTCTAGAGATCATTTATTCACCTTCATTCACACTAATTAGAAGGGCAAAATACATTAGAGAGCTGGGAGGGAGTTCTGGGACAGGGAGGCTGAGGTAGAGACCGGGGTCTCCATGCAAAACACAAAGCCTTCTCTTTTCAGTACAGGTAGTCACAATTTGATAAACCACATCATGCTTCTTCTCTCTGCCTGTACCCAGACTCTCCTTCTCAATTTTTACTGGTATGTCAACTTGTTACTCAGATTTTATTTGAGCTGACAAGATTACACTACCAAAATTATTACCAAAAAAGTGCCTGAAGAGGTAATTGCACACAAAGGTGCTGCCTCTGTGTCAGTCCTCCGGTGGTATTCATTTAAGTCTGTTGTTTGTCAGCTCTGAGTCTTTCTGGGGCTGGGCCTAAGCCCTTACTTATCTACAGAGTTCTTCAGGCCTGCAGCACTGTACACACTCT